CTAAAAATAAAAATGTTTTCTTAAAATTGTTATTCATATAGTTCTAGAGTGATTAATATACTCGTAAGTATGGAAAAAATAATAAAACTAATCACTTCAAAAAATTGTTAATATCACTTTGCGAATAAGTTTTAAACACAAATAATAAATTAAAATTCTGTATTTCATGCTGCGCTTTATTGAAATTGAAATTAGATTTGCTATTTTAATATCAAAATCTTCACACAAATTTTAAAAAAGCGGTTTCAACTGGTATCTAAATATCCAGGGTGAATATAAAGTATGAAACCAAGCGATTTTTTTAATCATTTGCCTGAAAAAAATAATCATTTATATACGAGTAAATTAAAGTTAAAAATGTGATCATATTTTGAGAACGAAATTTTGTTTTGTTTTATGCGATTTTTTGTCAAAATTGCAATTTAGGTAAAAAAAAATAATTAAATATAAACTATATACTTGTAATTCTTAGATCATAACCTTTATGAGAAAAATGGTTTTATAGTGGGTTGCCATTTAAAAAAAATAAAAAAAATTGTAAAACTCAATACTTAACAAACGAAAATTTTGAAAAATTTTATTTTTAATAAAATATCACATTTTTTAATAATTTATTATTCAGCAATTTATCAAAAAACGTTTAGTTCCATACTTTATATTTATCACCTCGTCTGTTCTTAACGAGTCTCTAAAATCCTGAGTAGGTACAAAAAAGTCATTTGATTTTAACATATTTGATTAAAAAAAAGTTGGATATTACGTGTGGGGTTTTAGAATACTTAATAGCAAAAACGGATTCTCAAATATTTTTTAGAAATTTTAGTTAGTATATAAAATAATCAAAAAATCGATTTTACGATTGCTTTGCTTTTATACTCTCTTATTTTCTTTATGAAATTAGAGAAAATTTGTTGCCTTGATAAGGGTTCGAACTCCAAACTTACTTTATGTCACTGCGCCACTATGCTCCCGTCATGTCTCTCTGTTCTAATATTATATAAAAATTATGTTTCGCATTTCTACAACGGTTTATGCATTTTTTGAGTAATTTGCAAAAAAATGTCATTTGCTCAATTTTTACCACTGTTGATTTTTTTAGAAAAATCGAGCTATAAACTCAAAACAAACCCGATTTTTGAGAGCTTGTTTTAGTCAGATAAAAGAAATTATGAAAAAATATGCTTTTTTAAATTATTTTTTGGGCCACTTAAGAGTGCAAAAACCGTCATTTGATCAAATTAATAAAATTATCAATTTTTGTAAAAAAAAAATCGAGGAAAGAATAAAGTAGTAATATAAACAAAAAACTATTTAATGATAAAAAATTTTTATTGATTTTAAACAAAATATCTTTGTCCATTTTGCGTTTCTTGTCTTTGAATTATTGCGTGGAAGATGGTTTGCAGGACAAAGAGAAATAAAAACCATAAAATTTGTCGCAACGTTTCGATACTTTTATTGTATCCTCTTCAGGCAAATAATTCTTGTTGGTTGAGCGTGGGAAGCATAGCACCGTCAAGGAAGAACTCTGTCAAAATATCTTTGTTTCTTTAAGATTTTTTAATTTTTTAAATTTACTGTTATTGTTATTTCATTTAGTTATTTCAGCTAAATGTGCTGTTTTGTTAGTTTTTGAAGACAGTTTATTTCGAAACCAAATCGTTCAGTCTCTCTCCTCTCATCCAATCGCGGCTTTCCTGGAAAAACCTTGTGAAAATCGTCTAATTTCCCCGGTCCTTGCATCGTAAGCAATTCGCTGGATGCAAGGGGGCGCTAATGACAATATTCGCGCTTGGCCGCTCCCTCGTATGTAATCAGAGATCGGCAACAATACCGTTCTTTAACGAGACAAAAGAAGCAGTCCGGACTCGTCAACCGGAAACGTCCGGAATAATTCGTCCGGAGGTGGTGTTATTGCAACCGCCCCAATTAAACGCGAAATTATAACCTAATAAAAGTACCATGAACAACAACACATTTACTACTCCAAATCCAATATAGCTCCGTGCTGTGCTCAAGATCTGGATGGTTAATGGTCCCGTTTTATTAGACAATCAAATCCGAAATTCTCTTAGAAAAATAATCAAACAGTGGAACGCATCTATATTATTTTTAACTGCTTTTTAAATGGTTATTGGTGTAAACAGAGAGTGACGTACTTCCGGAGTTGGTTAGGGCAGCAGTGCGACGGAAACGGAGACTTCTTACGAGAATATTGTTTGGAATATGCCACCACCCTCCGGAGCGGCTTCAAACGGAGTTATAATAAGATGCGGCCGCGGGACACGTGTGGTACTTGCGGCGGGGAAATCGGGTGGAAAACGACAATACCCAATCAAAAAAACTGACATTTTATACGGCAAAATTAATTTGACACACGAAGCGCAGCAGAGTGCGTTAATATTTGAGATCTATACTGCGTGCGCCAGAAGTTGCGCCCCAGAGAAAAATTTCAAGTAAGATAAGGTACCAGGAACATGGAAAAATGTTTAAAAAGTTCTATCTGTGTCAATTTTTTGACATTTGACATTTTTCTATCTCTATTTAATGATACTGATAATCTTGTATATGATTTTTTTACAATTATTTAGTAAAGATACAAAAATTTTGCCAATTAAAGCTACAAATAACATTGAACAACTTCCTTGTTTCTTCTTTTAATAAATAGCGTGTAGCAAAAAAACTTGAAAAATTATTCGTCCAACAGAAATAAATAGAGTCTAAGTGCAAAATTTAAACTCTCATAATTTCGAAATTATTATAGATAGAATTTTTTTAACATTTTTTCCATGTTCCTGGTATCTCACTTAACATGGCATTTTTCTTTGGGGCGTTAGTTCTGGCACACCCTGCATAACTTGAGAAACAATTTTAACAAAACATTTTTATTCTTAGGTTTTATTTATGTATACAGTGTGACTTAAAACTTTAGATTGAAACAAAATAGCAAAAATTTGAATAATTACAAATTAAAAAATAAAATATTATCTTTTTCATTTTTATTATTTTGTAGACCAGTTTTAAACAGCTGTATTAAAAATGTTGTTAAATTTATTTATTTCTTGATAACTATAATCGCAAATCTAATCATTATTTCAACAGAGCGCATGAAGAACCTATAGTCATATCTGTATCTGTGTTAATTTTTTATATTAGATCTTTTGAGAATATAAACTTATCTTCAATTCTAGTTTGAAACTTATTTGGAAGGTAAAAAATAAAAAGAAAAAGAGTTTTGCAAAAATTTATTTTCGCACATGAAAAAGATTCTACTTTTTTAAAACGCCTTATTTAAACAGTGAATAGTTTTATTGTTTTACTATTTAAGCATCAAATAGTTTTGGTTCTAGATATAATTGGTATACTAATAATTATTTAGAATTAAACAATCTGAAGAATTTTAATAAAGTTTCAACGATATTTGTCATCATTTTGATATTTTTAACTCGTCTTTTTATTTATGTTATTTTTAAAATAGTTATTGATGTAATTTTTCTCTGGGGCGCGAGTTCTGGCGCATTCTGTATAGCATTTTAATACATACAGCGTGTCCCAGAGAGTTGATAAAGTCAATTAGTAACTTTTAAATAGTAAAATTAAAATATATATATAGGACATTAATAGATACTAATCTAGTCCATCGCCTACAATTATTTTCAATTATACAGAGTGTCTCAAAAATAAGTTACAATACAAACTTGTGTTTTTTAAATGAAACACCATATGTTTCTTAGCGTTTTTGGATGTAGAT